GGCAGTCCCTGGTGCAAACTTTGGGAAACATGGCCCTATAAAATAAATCTGATACTGCAGTTTCCAAAGTGGATCTTTTTTTTTTTCTTCAAAGAGCAGTGTTAAAGAGTTTCTACTGGGTATGATTGCACTCCTTGTAGGGTAGACAGGAACAATTATGATCAGGACTAAATTTAACTCTAATGAGAGGGACTGTGTACCAAGTGAAATAGGCACCAGGTGCACTTCAGCTTCCTCGTACGTAAACTACATCCATAAAAACTGCTACGGGGGAAGGGATTCCGGATGCCGCAGAAGCACTGGGGCTTCAAGCTGGAGTCACACTGGAAGCTCTATGAACACCGATGCCTGGCCCTCCCTGCCCAGGAATTCTAATGTAATTGTTTGGGAATGAGGCCTGGCCATTGGGGTTTGGATGAGTTCCCAGGTGACTGATGTAGCTTGGGCTGACAACTGCTGGAAAGGAAGCCCTACCTACCAGGACTTCCAGCAGAGCTAGCGTCAAGGAAGCAATGTATGATATGAACTGGAAGTCTGAGAGACCCGTTGGGCTGAAGAGAGGGCTGAATGTCCCCTTTCATGACTCAGTGCTACTGCATGCCATTGACCTTTTTTAAAAAAAGTGAAACCAGAGATATTTTGATTTTTTTTCATTTTAAAGTATTAATTTTTAATATGATTGGCACTGTAATTGGCACAGGTTATACTATCATGAACAAAACAGGAGCTTGACATTCTAATGGATATGATGGGTTAGGGGGACAGGCAGAGAAATGACACAACATGAGATTTTAGCACAAGGAAATAATATAGAATAATGTAAAAGATGGCATGCGATGAAAGAGGGTAACTTGAAAAGGATACCAGTTACTTGAAATTTGTTAGGGAATGCTTTGCTGCATTCATTTTTTTTTTAATGAAGTAAATTTTAAAATGACTCTCCTGTCTATTCTTTTTCACTCATCTCTGGGTATCTTTTGAATGTACAACTTTCCATGTATCTTAAAAAAAACACATATAACGTGATGGAGGTTGTCATGCAAAATAAGCCAACCACCTTCCCATGCCTGACTGTAAGGGCAGAAAGCCCCTCAGGTGGCTACGATCACTCACACTGGTCCTCCCGCAGCCACGTGGACTTGCAGCGCCCAATGTCCAGCTTGGGGGAACATGCAGTTATCTGAGTCAGCAAATATTAGTCCTGCCCTGAAGAAAACAAAAATGCTACTGTGCTTGCTGTCACATCTTGGAATAAGCAAATACCCCTGCTTCCACCATATACGGGCCCTTTCCTTCCAAAATATGTTGTATTGAGACGACCAGCAGCCTCAGACCTGCATGCGTTTCTCAAAGTCTGTGACCCAGATCACCTACATCAGAATCACAGGGATGTCAGTTGAAATGCAGATGCCTGGGTGCCACCCACAACCTAAGAATCAGTCTCTGGGGCCTGGGGAACTTACAGTTGTAAGATCTCAGGCCATTCTCTGCGTGTTGGGATTTGAGAGTTGCTGTGGGAAGTGCTGGGCACCCAGATCTGCCCTCAGGCCCCCAGAGCAAAGATTCTCTGCAAGCAGTGGGAGCTTAGTGGTTACATATATTCCAGATCCTGTGCAGCTCTATGCAAGGATTCATTTTAAGCGTGTACCATAATGAACATCTAAATGAGGGGCCTGGACCCTGTTAGCATTCACCAAATGCTGGGGTATAGTCCATCTTCCGTGTCATATTTTGTAGTGCTTCATACATAACCGTAATAAAACAAAATAAGGACAGAAGAGATTCTTCTTTCCGGTCTTGACCTGGTTAGATGCTTTGTTAAAAATCATGGCACACTCTTTTGGATACCTGAGCAATGTACTGTTAGGGCGAACAATCTGCTGATCAGGCAAAATGAAACACCTCAATCATTTGCAAACACTGGACAAAAACTCATGCTTATGCAGCTGATCGTGGAAGTGCAGCAAAGCTACATGTGTCTTGGTCCAATGTCCCCTGCCCCCTAATTCTGATAAGTGAAATCAACGGATTGTCATAGTGTTTGTCTGGGCAAACGTGGGCATTTGCTTTCTATTATTTTGCTCTCTGGACTTTGACTTCCGTGATGCCAAGCAGCAGGGAGCAACTGAATTGGAGTCTGAGCCAGCCAGTGTAGAGGACTGCAAGGGACCGAGGTAGTGAGGGGCTCCTGCAACCACCGTCGCTATTTCCTCTCAGGAGCGCTGACTCATCTCGAGGTAGTGAGGGGGCTCCTGCAACCACCGTCGCTATTTCCTCTCAGGAGCGCTGACTCATCTCCCACATAAACCCATGGCACCAAGTTCCAGCCGACCTCTGGAATTCTCTTTCCTCTCCATTGAGGATGTGAGCCATATTCAGGGGCTCCTGGGCTTGATGGAGGTAGTTTTCAGGATCAGATGATCCCCATTGAAAAATCATTAGATAAATTAAGAATAGATGCTCAGCAGAGATAGCCAATTCACTACACAGGCTGATGTTTCCAGAATGTATAGCTTGTCATAAACATCTAGTTTTCCTGCCCTTCCTGCCATCTCTGACCATCAAGTGTGCAGCAAAAAGCCTCGGACAAGACATCTGAGTGTTACGAACCAAGTGCTCCGGCATCCTGGTGGCCTCTGGCAAGCAAGTTTACTGCCTGTGTTTCGATAGACTGCTTGAATAATCGGGATCTTTTTCTGTTTGCAGGAGACCCTGGCATCACAAAACACAAAAATGATTTCATCCATAGTAATCTCCCAGATGATTGATGAGAATAAGTCAAGAGAAAACAAGGCCTCCTTGCCTCTGCCGTGTGCAATGGCTCAGTCTCGTGGACATCACATCAAGCAATCTGTGGCTAATCGCAGCGGAGTCAACATTCACAGGGCATTTGCATTCCTACCGGGCAGATTAGGAATCCCAACACCGTCAGATGAGCGAGGACCTGAGACAGAACTGCCACCCAAAGAGGAGAGCCCCTGTGAGGGCCCCCGCAGAGGTTTTGCGTCCATCACCATCACAGCCAGGCGTGTGGGCGCCCCAGCCAGTGCCCTGGTATGGGGGACTGTTGGGGACTCTCTGTGTCCTAAGTGCAGGGCTGAGGACACTGTGTTCCAGGCGCCTCCAGCTCTGGCCAATGGCCCCCATCCAGGTCGGCACCAGAGAGCTTTTGCTTGCACAGAGTTCTCCAGAAACAGCTCGGAGGTGCGGCTGAAGGTTCCTGAGGCCCCCATGGGGTTGTGTGAGAGACGCAAGGCCTGGGTCACCCATGCCGATGAGACCAGTTTTTCTGCAGACACCCCACTGTCAGGAAAGAGCCCACTGGTGTTCAGTTCCTGTATCCACCTCAGGGTGTCTCAGCAGTGTCCAACTTCCATCTATTACGTAGACAAGTCTCTCTCCATTCCCTTTGAGCAACCTCAAATTGCCAGCCCCAAAATGCACAGATCCGTCCTGTCGCTCAACCTCAATTGTAGTTCCCACAGATTAACAGCAGATGGAGTAGATGGCATAGTGAACGGAGAGCCAATAAGCGCAGGCCCGAAGCAGGAGCTCGTGGAGGGAGACCAGGACGTCCTAGGCCAGCGCTGGGACCCAGGTTTACAAGAAAGTCACTTGAAGGAAACCCCATCATTGGGGCGGGTGCATTTGGGGACTGACACATGTCCTTGGAGTGATTCTTTTCCATTGGAAAACACAGAATTTGCAGACGTGGGAACTAACCAGGTCACCGTAAGAAAAGGGATAAAGGACCATGAGGCTCATTGTCATGCCAGCGGTCATGCCAACCAACTGTCCATTCACATTCCTGGCTGGAGTTACAGGGCAGGTGAGTGGTGCGTCCATCTGCAAGAGGGTGACCTGTGCCAGTGCCCTAGCAAGGTGGCTGTTGAGGGAGATTCTTTTACAAAAGAGGCACGTCTCAGTAGACTTGCAGTGATCTCTCTTCACGGTTGATGACTGATAGCCCAGCATCGATGTCTGATTGGATAGATTTTTTTTTTTTTTTTTTTTGGTTGAGACATTCGTAGATTGTAAGAGGCCTTCTGTCAGATTCCTGTTTCCAATAGTTGCAGATCACATGTAATGAGAAGGGAATGATGGCCCCCAAAGGAAGTTAATTTACAACGTGCCCAAATCGCATTCCAAGAGAGGGTGAGAAGAAGGAAATGCCATTTACCCCCAGATGTTTCAGCTCTTTCTTGCCAAACATCTGTGTATTTGGAAGTGTCCAGAATTCTGCACTTTTTACTTTTCAAGTTAGCCTCATTGATATAAAAACTAGACCACTAAGCTTCACAATGGAGTGGGGTGTGTGTGTGTGTGTGTGTGTGTGTGTGTGTGTGTGTGTGTGTGTGTCTTTAGTAATTATAGGACATTTTCTAAATTAGGTAAGTCAGGGACTCTGTGCCAAATAGCAGCAGCAGCAGCAATCTTCTGTCCCCCTGGTTGTGTCTTCTGGGACATCTTGGCCAGTGTTTGTTGCTGTTTCTGCCATTTCCAGGGCCAGGCACAGTTCCCAAGGTGGGCTGCTCTGAGTATTCTTCACGTTTTTTGGGAAATCGAAAGAGGAAAGCCGGCCTTTTTTGGAGGAGAGAGGCCAGATTTCTTTCTTTGTGTTAATTTCTGATTTTCAACTTTACTTTCTGTGAGAGGCTCTGGTTTATGAATTACTTTCTATTTGGAAAAAAAAATAGTTAAAGATATTAGTATACAATTGAAAATGCAGAATATGCATAACTTATGGTACAATTTTTGTTCGTTAAAGCTTTATTAATAAAAATTACTATAAACCATTTTAAGTTATAATGTGTATAGACATGTTAAATGATGTAATTACTTTTAACAAGTGTATATATATTGAATGCCCAGAGATTTTTAAAGCAATTTTGACATGGCTTTCAGATTGATTAAACCATTGAAATGCATGTCTTACAGACTCATTACAAGAAGGACAACGTAAGCAGCTATTAGTGTTCCAAAGATAAATCCCACTTTAGTATTTAAACAGATTGCTCAGGCTAAGTGCTTCATCTTCCTTATTGATGAAGATTCCAGAAATATACCACTGCATTGTTGCATGCTATGTCAGTTAAAGCACATCCTCATTTCTAAACCACGTTTCCTGGTGTGAAATAATTGGATTTACAGTACTTTTCACCAAAGGCTTTTTATTAATAATGAGAGCCAGATCTCAAATACCCATCTCAGAGGAGGGCAGCAAGAGTCTGGAAAATTCCCCCAACTTACTTTTTGGCTGTGGTTGTGCAGAGAAGATTTTTTGATTGTGATTTTGTAAAATGACTACTCGGCAAGAGATTATCTTAAGCAAATAGTATGAATTCATTCTACATCCTATGGGCCAGCATCCCCCAGAAAAAGCACATATCCCAAAGATTCACACGTGGAGCCATTGAGTGACTCTAAGCCGTGGGGCTTCATTCTATCACTTGAGGAAAGAGATACTCACAGAGACCAGAGGAGTCTTAAATACCTTTTCTAAAGTTTCAGTAGCTTTGGGGGTACAAGTGGTTTTTGGTTCCATGGATGAATTATACAGTGGTGAATTCTGAGATTTCAGTGCACCCGTCGCCCAAGTAGTATACATTGCACCTAATGTGGTTTTCTTTTAAATTCCTAGACCCACCTCTTACCTGCCCCTTTCTGAGTCTCTAAAGTTCATCACAACACTCCATGCCTTTGTGTATTCCTAGTTTAGCTCCCACTTTGAGAACATTCGGTTTTTGGCTCTCCACTCCTATGCTACTTCACTCAGAATAATCGTCTCCAGCTTCAACCAAATTGCTGCAAAAGACATGATTTCATTCCTTGTAATGGCTTAGTAGTCGTCCATGGTGTACGTGTACCACGTTTGGAGCGCCTTTCTGTAGGGTTGTTGCTCTACTATTTCTAGCTCAGTGAATGTGAACACGTGACACTCTCTGAGCTCCTCATCTGGGTAACTAGAGCAGGGGGAAGATTGGGTGTTTTTCGAGGTCTCATCAATCTTCAAAAAATTCAGCTCTATTTGCCCAAGGTGGGCTCTGCAAACAGAAGAGGCTCCATGTGACTCTGGGCCCTTCAGCTGCAAAGTCCAAAGCCACAGATCCCTGGTGCACACAGTGGGGCACTTGCTGCAGATGCCTACAAATGTACACTCTCACCTACACGTGCGCCCTGGCTGTGTGTTTCTCACTCAGAAACTAATTTCCAGTGGACCATATTTCTTCTCAGGTGACAAGAAGGCACATCTGTCCATGCTGTAGAATTCTGGCCTGATATTTACCAGCACAGCTCATTGACTCTAACGACCATAGGCTGTCTTCACACAGTCGGCACGATGTTTTGAGGGTGAGCTTGCTGACCTTCAGTCCTGACAAAACCTTTTAGCCTTAATGCAAGTGCTTTCAGACTGCAGCAACGCTCATTAAAACTCAGAGGAACTGTTTATATTTTCCTGTCTGAAGCTGGAATCCTATCTGAGACATCCTTGACAGCCTCCCGTGGTTACACATGCTATTAGCAGTCTTCACACTTCATAGTTACTGAATCTGATGCTTTTTATCTGAAGGATTCCAAAATACCTCATGAGCAGAATCTTCTGTTGACTGGCTTACTGACATTCAGCTGCTTGGTGGGTGCAACATGGGAGATTCTACAAACAGAGGCCAGGCAATTTTAGTTCTAGTCATTAGGTCATTGGACAGAAAGTTCTACAAATTGTATTCATGAATGAGCCTCCAGGATATGCACCCAAAAGATAAGATTAGGAAAAATGAAACACAAGCACATCATGCAATTCAAATAGCTGTGTCTACTGAGACGTAGCATTCCAAAAGACACGTGGGCACCTGCTCCCCTTTCGGGCGCTGAAGGTTAAGGAATTGGTTCTCTCTTTGCTTATCTCCTCTGTCCCTGTATATTTTATCTTTTCATCTCTATTGTAGGTGAGCATTGTACAAATCCCCGCATCTGTCATAAAACTTAATCCCCATTCTTGTCATCACCATCATCGTCATCATCATTATCATGATCTTATTCATAACCACAGCATATGTTGTAGAAATCCTAGTCACTAGGGCCTGGGCTGATCCATTATTTTGAGTCATTCAACCATCTACAAAAAGAGTTCACTCATTTTTCAGACAATACAAAAGGAGGCTTGAAGATTAAATGATTTGCCCAAGTCCACGTGGCCACCTGGTTCTAGAGGTGTGTACTTGTCTCCTGCTGTCCAGTTCTCAGTGACAGCCCCAGGCAGAGCAGTTAAGATGGTGGAGACTCAATGGCTGGCCCCACCTCCACTGCCACTATCAAAGGTGATATCTGAAGACTGCTTATGCACATCTGGAGTAATACTAGTATTTGGTTGCCAGATACCCCAGTAGATTATTAGGAGAGTGAACTCCAAGTTAATTTGTGATAAAATATAAGCTGTATCATTTGATGCAGTTAAAATGTATTGGCTCAGAAATCCTTCTCAGCCTGAAATCCAGTTATTTGTGGTGGTCTGTGAACTACACAATGTTGGTCTGAATGGTTCCCACCTCACCGGATGCGCATGCCTGACTCACTATTGACTTAGACACGTTTCTTACTGCCAGTTTTATGTCTATCTGTGGCTTAAATCTGAAGCTTTCCCCCATTACTGAGATATCCAAGTAGAGGGGGCAAAATCTTCCAACGATGGTAGGTGCTGCTGAAGAAGAGACTAGTGAATACTGTACACTGTCCGCAGCTATTTGTGTTCGCATTTCATGGTGGTGCTGGAGCTGTGTACTTGTCTTACAACTCCCTCAGCCAGTGCACAGGCTTTGGTGGCATTGGTCTGAGATGTCCTCAGTGGAGTTTAGCATCACTAGTGAATAAAGATGTGGATGGATGGAAGGCAGAAATCCCTGCCAGTTCTCCAAATGAGTGCCTACTTGCACTTAGATGGCATGGTCTGCCAAGTTAATAATGAGGCCTAACCCCCTCCAGGTTTCCTGAGGCTGATGCCTCTACCCTGCAGATCTTCGCCACTAGATGCAAAGCTTACACCACTCAAGGGCAGATAACAAACCATGTACATACAAGCCAAGCCTACCCATAGGGGAAAGCCCTGCAGTAGATGCATACTCTCATCCCATGAGGACTTTTTACTAAAGGGAACAGAAGATATTTTACAAATGTGATTTTTTTAATGATCTAGAATTGGGGTGAGCAACCTTTCCTTTTTCCCTTTTTTTGTGAAGGTCCCAATTGAAAATATATGTTTGGCTTTGCAGGCCATATGGTTTCTGTAGCAGCTACTCAACTAACTACTCAACAGTCTTCAGATAACACCTTTGATAGTGGCAGTGGAGATGGGGCCTGCCACTGAGTCGCCACCATCTTACCTGCTCTGCCTGGGGCTGTCACGGAGAAGGGCACAGCAGGAGACAACTTGCTGTTGTACGGCAAAAGCAGCCATCGACAATTTCTAAATACATAAGTGTGGCTGTTGCCAATAAAACTTTATTTACACTAACAAGCAGTGGGCCAGATTTGGCCTGCAGTCTGTAATTTACTGACTTCTTGTCTAGTTTTCAAATAAATCCATCCCCCAAGATAAAACTTTACTCTGTTCCCCAGTATTGCATGTTGGATTCTCTAGAAATCAGAGTCTGAGGTGGAGATGAATGGGCTGGGCATTTACTGGTGAGCGTTCTTGGATACGACATCCATGAAGGGAAACAGGACTGGGCAGAGGGATAAGGTGTTCTGTGGTGCAGTCATAAGGAAGGCCTCTGCCAACCACTTAGGGAAATCTGACCTTGGGAGAGACAGCTCTCTTTAGTCAGCCAATTC